TTGTTACGACAAACTACTCATGAGCATCGTCTGGGTGCTGTTACGTTCTTTGCCTTATTTAATCCTTATCAGCCCCACACAGCAGGTGTTATTGCCCCATTTTCCAGATGCCGAGATGTGGATGCTAAAGTTTACAGAATCCACCCAAAGGCACTCAACCATCCAGCGGCAGTATCCAATTTAAAGCCAGGTATTCTGACTCTGCATCCAATGTTGGTCTTTCCACGTCCCAGCAAGCCCCAGTCCCAGCTATGAGAACTCAACACTTCCCCGCCCTTTCAGACGCAAGCAGTCAAAATCTACTATTTATTCATGATCTTTCACACAGCCTCTGGCCAGTGGAGAGAAGATGGCTGAATTACAACTAGCTGCTCTTTAATATCTTAAAAAGAACAAAGTTAGGGATAGGCTGAATTTCAGGCCAAACCAACAGCCCACACAAAGCCAAGACAAGTCCGGTCAACAGTTACCTGGAAGACAGGACTGATATTAGCAATCTCCCTTCCAAATCCATCCATCAATTCCTCCAGACTGTAACACCAGCCCTACTGAGGGACGCTTGCTGAAGGCTCCTAACAGAGATTCTGGGGCAAACTCCACACAGTGGCCATTAGGTTCACCAAACTCTGTCGTCACACACAAGAAAACCCCCTTCTTTCTCTGAGCGGCTAATTAGAGTTCAGCTGGTATTAGGTGGGGGAAGGGTTAATAGTCACTAAAGTTACTCAGATCCATACCTGGTATAAGGCCCTACCTAGCCCCAGAGACTGCTTATCGTGAGTCTGCGATACAGGGAAAACAAGAGGCACCAGATAAGCCACTTTAACTTCACCATAGTTACATCAAAGAAAGCGCGCATCCAGACGAGGCAATCCAAGATAAGTTTTTATAATAAAATTATTAAGTTAATGGGATGTTCAGTTCCCTTGACAGGGACACAACTATCTGTTTGGCTCTTTGCCCCCTTTTTATTTTAGGCTTGTTTCATCAGAAGTCATGTTTTGGGTGCACCTATACATATATTTTAAATAAATAGTCAAAACTCCTTAACAGTGATTATAATGCCAAGAAATAGGTATGAGAGGATCAGGAGAGGGGAATACAAGTGAGGCCAGTGACCAGGAAATAAGGAGCCTAGCCCCGAACAGCAAACCAAAGACAGACTGTGGTTAGGTGCTAGTGAAATCATTTTCAAAGGAACATTTTATGGGATATCTCTTTTAAAACCAAGTCAATTAAAACTCTAGGAGCCTCTTTAAGTGGGACGCCATGCTTGACCCTGTTGTAAGCTCTGTCTGCTGCAGATATAGAGCTGAGCCGTCTGGGAAGGACATGGGGTCCAAGAGGCCCAACCAGCCCTGTTGTCCACATGATTACCATCGAGTCTTCCTCTAGGATGAGGTTCACATCTTTCTCATCTGCCCGGTCACCCATGGACAAATCAGTGCAGCACAGGCTGAGTGGATGTCGCTGTGTGGAAGGCTCACGTTGGGCTGATTTGAAGGCAGCTGTGGTGCTGCTTCAAGTATTCACAACTCACCTGCTCTCTATTATCACATGCCTCCCAATTCTGCTATCCCACCAGCTCTGGGCCCATGGATTAGAACGGCATAGCATGTGCAAGTCGCTGCTGAGACACTACACACACACACACACACACACACACACACACAGGCTCCGGGTGCCAGTTTCATCCCTCACCAGTCTCTTCTTAGTCAAAGTTCTTAAGACCTAGAGGAGACATTTAAGGGCCTCCAGTGTCTTCCTGTCTTGGGGGCATATATCGCCCATCTCTCTATGTTCCCGGAGAGTTGTTTTTGTTTTTTTTTTTTTTCCCAAAGACAGTGTTTCTCTAAAAAACCGCCCTGGCTGACCTGGAACTCAAGGCTAGCCTCAAAATCACAGAGATCCACCAGCCTCTTCCTCCCTGAGTGCTGGGATTAGAGACTCTAATCCTGCTGACCCTCAACATAGTGGCTGGCATAATCTGTAAGTACAAATGCATCTTAAAGCTAATCAGGATGTATAAAAGAGAAAACTAAAATCCGAGAGAGCTGGTGTGTACTGTTCTGTGCCAACTGCCAGATCTCCTGACTGCCATGCTGACTGTGTACTGCCCCACCAACTGCCTTCCCTGTACTGGGCTCCAGTCACTCCAAAGTCAGAGCCAGCCTCAGGGATGCTCCCCAGAGAAATGACTTTTGTTCCCATCTGAAAAGCAATGAGGTTTTCATCAACTAACTCTGAAGGACTGAGGGAAATGTCTACTCCAGAGCATCTTGGCTTCCTTACCATGTGCCATTTGGCTAGAAACTGTGTCCTATCCTAAGATAAGCTATCATTTACAGCCATTCTCCCCAGAGTATCACTGATTTTTTTTTTTTTTTGCATCTCTTAATACCTGGCCCTTTAAAATTATGAGCAGCATTTTAAAAAAAAAAATCACAAATTTTAATAAGAGGAAAAATGCCTGCTCCTTAGAACAAATCGTTTAAAATTATGTTTTAAGTTAAGTATGAAAATGACAAAGTGAATTATCCATCCTCTCCCTGAGGCTGTTAGGAACCGATTTAACGAAAGTTGGGCAGTGAGGCAGCCTCCTGCCTCTCTGCTCCAAGGGAGACCCCACTACAGATTTGGCTTCCCCACACCGAAAGCCACTGCTCAGAATTCAGTTAAACAGTAACAAAGGCAGGGTCAGAGTGTGTGGTCACCAAACCAATGCTTCCCAACCGGGGCCCCACCCATGACAGAAAAATCAGTTGCTTCACTTCCATGGAAGAGGAGAGAGCCAGGTGGGCAGGAGAAAAGGCTTAAAACACCCAGCAAGGTGGTGGCACTGGAATTCAAGTTTCGAGTTTCTATTTGGTTCCTTCACACTGTAGCCCTGCGTGTTGGCAGGCTCTGTTTGAGTGTTTCAGAACCCTCCCCACCTCATCTCGAAGAAGGCTTCAAAGGCCATCTCTGTTTGAAAAGGCCTAGGGATGCCTCCATCCAAAGGGAGAGACTAAGTGAGCTTGCTTGAAAGCCTCCACACCTGTGCGTGACAATACACTAGGAAACAACATCATCGCATGTTAAAAAATGAAAGAGAGGCCAGTGAGCACGGTCCAGTTCTCAAATCCCCAGGAGATAAGAAGGAAATAAAACCTAGTAGGATTCCAGAAAGCAAGATCCCACTTCCTTAGAGCAGAACACGGCCCCAAAGCACTCCCATTCTGAGCTGCTGATATCAGGAGCTAACAAAATGCCAGTGAGAACACGGCTGAACTCTCAGTTCCACTTTTGTCTCAGGCCTTCAAAGGAGTCAAAGAGGTATTGAAAGAGGACTGGGATGAAGCCAGACAATGAATGGGAGACCCTCAGGGTACCCACAAACACCGAATCATGAGTGTGAGTGAAGCCTGTCAGAGGCCTAGAACAGCCCAAGGTACTCCCATGAGAAATCACGGCCTAATAATATAATAAAAAACATCAGGGAACTTGTGTGGATATAGGTAATATAATTTTTTAGCCACACAACAGCAACAAGGGGTATTGACTCTGAGAACTTTTGCATAAATGAGGCCTGGGTCAAACATACCCCTGTAACTTCCAAACACACCACTGGAAGAGGTCCTGAACATGGATGCCTTGAGTGGCCACATAACTTCCAACACACCTTCCTCAAGACTGCTCTTTCTGAACACTCTGCCCAACAGTCTAGAAGCATGGAGGTAGTACTCATGATATCTGGTTTAAATACAGTTACAAACTTCCAAATAACTCTTATCTCTTCCGTCACAGGTTTTAAATGCCACTGGCCAGTGCCATGAAAGTGCCACAAGGCTAATAGCATTCTTAACCATGAAATTTTCCTCATAACATGTCTTTATCTCCTTTGTAGAAAGCACCTCTTCCCTGGACCTCAGGGGTAGTAGCACATAGCCATCCTTGGTCCCTAACTTCCCCTCATTCATTAAAATGCACCGTCTTGATACATCTTCACACCAACAACCGCAGAACCAACTGGTGTTTCCCTCAGAAATCTCAAACTCCAAACTCTCCCGTTCTTTCTGAGGCCAACACGAAGAAACAGCAGAGACATCTGAGGACTCAAACTCGGAGAATCTTACACTTCATCTTAAAACATGCATCATCCCACAGTGGCTCTCAGAGTGTCCCAAGGAAGACATTTAAAGACGTGGTATTGCCACCCTGATGCTCTCATGAACCAACAAGATCCATTCCCCTACTGTTCTCTGTTCTGTCCACACTGGGACCAACACTTGTCCATGGTATACAAACAAACTCAAAGGAGTCCCTGTAGCAAAGGCGTATGTTCCTGGTGAGTCATGTCTGCCTGTCTGCTCATAGTATTTACTCCATTGTGGAAAAACAAAGAGTTGGTCTGTCCTCTTGTGATATGGTAGAAATAATTTACCTAAGGCGAGTTTTCTTTCTGCCCAGGATCATTTTTAATGGTAGAGTCTGCCTACCGTGGCCAGCTGATCCCTGTTCCCTTTCCAAACTGGAATACATTAAAGGTAAGTTAGCTTTTCCCTATAGCTTCTGAGTTAGGAAAAAAAATATATCAGCAAAGATACCTCTAGAATGTGAGACCTACCAGCCCTTAGCCAACCAGCTTGTTGTCACTGAGCGACATCAGAGTCACCTGTCCCCGGCTGCTTTTTGTTCCAGAGAAATCTAACCCGGGATATGGCTTTGTCACACCACATGGGCAGACAGAAACCAGGGGACTTTTAGACTCTGGCTGATTGGAAGTTCAGACAGTGTAGGGACTTTCACAGACAACACTCAAAGCGAGTAGCCCAGCTACTCTCACCCAAATAAACTAACAAGACCCAGTAGGTGAGCCCAGGTAACACAAGCTTACTTCTTGGCAGCTGCCTCGGGGAGGCTCTGGTTTATTTTCACCTGTCTGATTCAAGACAGGCTTCTCGTTCCACACAGGTGTTTGAATTCCAGGCTCAAAAGAAGATTTAAAAGCAAGGACCTACCTCATTTACCTAAAGATTCTGGGTAGGAAGTTCTGTGGCTCTGTCGATGAAGAAGGCAGGAGGAAGCTATCACCCCAGCTCCGACCAGGATGGGGAGCCACGGCCTTATCACGTCTGAGCTCTCATCAGGGTGAAGATAAATGCATATGACAATAATTTAAAATCATTTTGTAGGATGTTAAGCAATAAGCCACCAACCGGGAATTCCCTAAGTCACTTCCCCCTCCTCTGATTGGCTGTCCGGCCCTTTAAAAAAATAAAATAAAGGATTACAAACATTGGCTCATTTGCATTTGGCCAACTCACACGTTAGTGTTCAAACAAAACAGGTCTAACCAGGTTATGCCTGTGTCTCAAGAACAGAGACAACCTGTTAATGGATGAGGAATTGATTTGGTAGTGACTGTACTTTTCAGCTTAGAGGCAGTTTCAGGTGAAAAGTACCTCACTCCCCAAAGACACAGTGAAGAAGGGGGGGCTGTATAAAAGCCACGCCCCTGTCAGGCAGATGCAGGAAGGGGGCTGTGGAGCTGCTCTTGAACATCTCTCATTTTCTAACCTGTATGTAGCCCTCTCTGCTTTGGCATGGAGATCCTTGCCCTGGCTGTGCAGGTACCAGGCGTGGAAGCAGCTTCTAGGCTATTCTCTCTGGGCATCACGACCAACTCTTTGTAGTGACTCTTGACCATTTCAGACGACTTTGGACAGCCCTGGGGAAGCACCTCAGAGGAAGGTTAGACGGAGCGGTCCTGGAAGGGAGGCTCCACTCTGAGACCTTATCTCTAAGGGCAACAATCATCCTTGGTAAGGCAAGGGCTGCTAACCAGATCATCTCCACTTCACCTTGACACTTATGTGGTGCTTATTACTTTTTATCAGCCCTTGCTGTAAGATCCAGAAAAGAGAAAACTAAAATGCCAATAGTGTGAGCAAGTCGTGGACCATACAGAGGATCTACAGATTTCATAGGTTCCCATCCCCCCTGAACCAAGGATGTACAGGGAGTTTCCTATTCTTGCTTCACTGGATCCCAAATGTTTCTCCACCTGCACAGGAGAGTGACTGCCCCGGCCAGGAAAAATACAATCCCCTAACCATTAACTTTCCCCCTTGGGTCTTCCTGGACACCAGCCTTTATGAGCAAAGCATCCAGGCAGGTATCTTGAACTCTCCAAGCCTCCTCTCCCTTTGTTGGGAGACAGGAGAGAGATTGGGCAAAAAGATGAAGATTTTGTGATCACAGAAGTTCCTCCTGTAAAAAAAGAACACACACACACACACACACACACACACACACACGCATATGCAAAGACTTTTGGAAAGAACAGAACCCAAATGGCTGTTGTGTGGCTAACAAGGACTGCTAAGCCAGCAGCAGTATTCTCTTGCACTCACTTGTTGCTTGGGTTAAGCCACATGAATTCAGAGAAGTTTCAAGTGCAAATGATAGTGGTGGGGCAGGGGTGGGTTTGGAGGGGTCTTGGAAGAAGGTGAGTCATTAAAGGAGGTATTGGCATCCTTAACGTGGCAGAGTGTGGGATAACTCTATAAACCAAAGCCCTCTTCTTCTCTAACCACCAGCAAATAAACCCACCTGCCCTCCAGTTCAACCTTGTCTACCTGCCAAAGGCCTTGTTAACATGCAAATGTATGCCCTTGGCCTGATAAAAACAGTAAATGTCATCATTGCCCATTATCACATTAGCCCCAATTAGTTTATCAGCTCCTGATCTGAGAGTGAGGCCCCAGGGAACAGCCAGCTGGAAAGATGAATCAAGCTGTTGGGACTCCACCCACCAGAGGGTGTTTGCAAGGGGAGAAGGGGTGGGGGGGGGCGGGGAAGAAGGGTTCTAGGGAAAGCAACCTTAGCCTTTTCCACACCTTTGCCCGACCTTCACACGAAACCACAGAAAGTGGTGAGGGGTAGGGCATATATAGTCAGTCCTGAGGCATCAACATCAGATGTGAATACTTAAAATGACGTGGCTCCCTAGCTCAGGCCCAGCCACTTCTAGTTATAAGCCCTTTAATTTCAAGATGAGGTAGTCTATTTCTATCTCCATTCCTTTTCTACTCTTAATCTTGTCAGCTAAAGGGGTACTCCTGAGAAGAGTCAATCTGGGGCATTGGTGGAGATGGGAGGAGATAAAAAGATGTCACCTTACAGTCACAGCTACTGTGAAGGTTTACATATATACATATATACATACATACATACATATATGTGTGTGTGTGTGTGTATACCTGACAAAGTGTCTGATAGTGAGTCTTTATTAAGCATTGATTGTTTTATTTACTTGAGATTGAGTTTACACTCCTAGAAGAAAAGCAATAGCCCAAACAATACCTCCCCTCTCAGGAAAGGGGTGGGAAGGGAGAGAGAAACTATTGATTCTTAAGCATGCCCATGGTGGACAGATGAGGTCATTTACTTGATAGTCAACTTCAACAAGACAGCGCTGGTAGATGATAGGGAGAGAAAGAGAGAGTAAACCCCATAAAAAGCTTTAAATAATCACTATGGAAGCATAAACAGAGCAGATACTTATCACAGATACAGAGTAGGTTCCTGAAAAGGAAGTGTACAGTGTCATTATCACCACAGACTTTCCCCCATTCATCCTGTGTTTCTAAGATTCTTTGGGAGACAGATAAGAAGGAAATAAAATAATGAGGCAGAGTCAAAAATCAATATACTACCAAGAACTGGAATAAAATCTAGAAACACAAATACTCTGAATAGAAACCTGCCTCATCTTCCCTACGGGTCAAGTCTCTGCCAAGCATTGGACTTGTGCAAAAACCCGGAGCCTGAGTCAAGTCCTACTGTGCAAACTTGAGAACCTTAGCTTGGATGCCTTGCTCCCAGGTAAAAAGCCAGGCTGGCAGCTTGCACCTGCAATCCTAGCACTAGGGATGTGGTGACAAGAGGTTCCCTGAGGCTTTCTGATCAGCTGATCTTGTTAAATCAGTGAGAGTTTCAGTCTCAAAACATTAGATGGAGAGTGATTGAAAAAAAATTCTCAACCTTTGGCCTCTATGTATGTATCCACTCAAATACACACACGTACACAGGGGGCAGGGGGCGAGTAGAGAAGACAGGACTATTCGCAATGGCCCAGAGTTCCCGAGTTAGCTGGATTGTCTACTAAAAGATCTATATGGCAAAGCCAAAGAAGCAAAGGGACCTAACTGCTAAACTAAAGCCAAAACGAAGAGTCTCTGAGATCATCAAGCCCTAAGGGGTCCAAGTCTCAGACAAAGCCCCGATGTCACTACAAGACCAAGGGCAGTCATGTCCTTGCTTTACACAAAGGTAGATGTGCTCTTGCTTTACACATCAGTTCCTAACTAGAAGCCTATATTTATCTTTGAAAGCAAATGTGTGTTTGTGTACATGTCTGCTTCTCCTTCTCTCCTGATGATATGGATCTACCCCGGGCAGAATGGGACAAGTATATAATAAGAGACAAACAAAAAGTAATACAAGCTGAACAGGAATAAGAAACTCTCAAACTCTCTCTTTCTCTGTCTCTGTCTCTCCCTGTAAAACTCACAGAGGAAAGAAAGTCAATCATTTATTAGGCTGGCTATAGTCAAATAAGGAGCTAGGGGTCAGACATATCTTCCCTCTTGCCATCCTCCTTAAATTTAATGTTAATGATTAGATTCCAGGGTATCTCTCTGTACTCTGAGATGAGCTCATGGGCCATGAAAGTGGCATTTCGGTTTCTTTCAGAGGTCACAGGTTGACAGTTGTCCTCAGATTTGCATGGAGCTTTCTGTGGCTATCACATCTGTGTACCCATAGGCTGAGCAAACCCTCTAAACTGCCAAGGTAAGCCTCAGTGTGGGGTAGAAGAGGAACCCAATAACACTGAAAAGAGCTCAGTGTGGTAAGAGACAGACCAACAGACAGACAGAGACATTTTCTCCATCATTTGAACATGTCCCTAGCCCTACTTAAACATCAAAGAAAAAAACATACATACCCCAAAATCTTATTCAGGACTCCTCCATTCCCACACAGTTTGCCCCTCACCTTATCTCCTCTACAGCACATTATTTTCTATTCTCTCTCTGGCTTTATCTTCCCTCATGAGGAGCTTCACACACTGTCCCAACTTAGTGAAATCGTCACTGCTGGAAAAGACACTCTGGGTTTTTGTTTGGTTGGTTGGTTGATTTTATTTGTTTGTTATTCGGTTTAAGTTTTGTTGTTGTTGTTGTTTTTGTTTTGTTGTTGTTGTTGTTGTTCATTGTTTTTTTGTTTTTTCAAGACAAGATTTTTTTTTTCCAGGACAGCTCCAGCTGTCCTGGACTCAATTTGTAGACAAGGCTTTGTAGACTTTGAACTCAGAGCCATCCACCTGCCTCTGCCTCCCTGAGTGCTGGGACTACAGGTGTACACCATCACATCTGGATGGCACTCTGGTTCTTGAATCAAACTACTTTCAGCCTCTCAGCTTCAATTCTCAGTCTCAGAAAAGGCCAGAAGACCAAACAAAAGTTGGCCTTTGCCAGACAAATATCCTGTGGCAATTATTTTCTTCTCTGTATAGAGAAAAGCTCTTCATAATTTTAGCAGGCTTCTCCACCTTCTGCACTACTCTTTTTTACAATTGACAAATTTCAATTGTATATATCTAAGGTATACAACATGATGCTTTGATATATGTGTACCTTGTGGGATGAATAATCAAACCAATTAGCATAGGCATCACCACACAAACTTAGCATTTTTGGACAGTGAGAACATTTGTGATCTGTTCTCAACAACTTTCAAACACATAATACACTGTTTTTAACTACAGTCACCATGTTGTATAACATACGAAACAATTATGAGTTGTTTTCACATGTTATGTTTTGTATAAGCTCGCCCTTCCCACTGTCATGGAGTGCTAAATATAAAATGAATTAAAGGATCCAGCCCAGCTCAGGCTACAGAGTGAGTGAGACCTTGTCTCACAGAAGTAAAAATAAATGAATGAACAGAAAAGCAAAATGAAACTAGAAAACCAAAACGAAAAAAATCTAAAACGTGATGACAGACCTGGATCTTAGAGGCCAATCTTCAGCCCCTCTAGTTCAATATCAAATAGTGAAAAAGCTGTATGTTCAGAATAAAAATGGAGGG